ACATCACCATAACACAAACAGCTACACAGAAACCATCTTGGTTTTCTTGATTTGTTTTCTAGCTTTCAGTGTCACCACCAAAGATCACTTTTCTTTTCCAAAGCTGTAGCAAAATGATTATGTCATCCAGTGAGTCTGGTGGATCATACACTAATGTTTAACGAGGGAAATCATCGTAAAATCACTGCTCGGGGTTTTCATCAGTGCTTTTACCTTTTTTAACTGATTATGGACTTAACAGTGAACACCGTGCTGAAATGAAAGATAATAGCTATCATGTTATCATGTTAAGATATTCTTATGTTTTCAAGAAATGTAGCTGTAACTGCTTGCATGAATCAAAGCCTCTTTTTATTCATAGCTATATAAATGGTGATCCGAAGCGTTTTCTGTGAGGTTAGTTTTGATGGGATATTTCCTTTAAGTAGTAGGTCTTATTTTATGGGGGTTTGGTCTTTTTTGTGTGCCTCTGTGCAAGTGAGACTGTGTGTGTGAGTGTGTAATTGTGTGAGTGTGTCACAGAGGTGACATTGTTCCTGGCAGAAATATGTTCCAGGTTTGGGGCTCAGGTGGCTCTGGTTTGTCTCTGATCAGGGCTGACACACAGGACAGCACAGTAACACACAACTGCTGTCTCTTTCTTGATTTAGCACAATCTCACTGTGGTTTGTAATTCCCTCCCCTCTCTCTCTCTCTCTCCAAACACACAAGCAGCTCTAAGCTCTATCAATCTTTCGGAACATTGATCGCGAACAGCACGGAGGCCCGATAGCTTTTGCTTTCTCACACCTGATGCAAAAAGCAGGGGTCGGCTTTCTTTGAAGCTGTCTGCACTGGTCAAGGATGCATCTTGAGTGTACTTATAGTAAGCACTGTTTTACTTGAAAAGGCTTGCTTGTGAATACACGGCCAGGAACATCCTGCTTCAAAGCATGCACATTTGAAAAGGCTGTTGAAAGAATGAGGACAAAATGGTGGCTAAAACAGATGAACTGACTGTGCGGGCTGTTATCAGACAAAAGCTGCCCAAGGATTCGCCAGGTTTCTTCACTTAAAGGGCCACGGTGGCTTAGGTGGAGAGACACACTTCAACTAGCTGTCTTTTATCTACACAGGGAGCAGGTGCTCAAGTATGGAGCCTGATGTATTGGAACAGCATGTTTCTACAAACCAAACAGAGATGACCTCTCATATTCTTAAGTTAAACCAAGGTCATCTGAGGTTCTCATACATGTTTGAAAAGAGAGGGCCGAGGAAGCAGGTTGCAGCTGACCACCACTAAATCGTGCTCACCAATCCTTCACAATTAACCAGCCAGAAATTGATTAACAATTATCATCTAATCAGACACTGAATCTGGATGGCATTATTGTGGCCTTGTACTAAAGTGAGGAACCGTGAAGTCATGTTGGCACTTCTTTTATCTACTTAACACTGCCAAAATTAGTGACATCATATCAGTGATGCTTGAAGAAGTACCCTATGTATTTGTTACTTCTATGCTGGACTGCTATAGTTCCTTATTATAATGTGGTTGTCCCTGAAAAGCCTTCAGTCAGTCCAAAGAGCACCACAGCGAGAGGCCTAAATGGGACTAGTAAGAAAGATCATTCTTGTTTCATTTCAGGGTCTCCGTTAAATCCAGAACTGAATTTAAAATCCTTTCTATATAAAAAGTATTGAATGATCAGACCCTGTTATGCCATTTAAGGCTTACTAGTTGTTCCTAGACTTTCTAAAAGTAGAATGGGAGGCAGAGCCTTCAGCTTTCAGGCCCCTCTTCTGTGGGACCAGCTCCCAGTTTGGATTGGGCAGACAGATACCATCTCTAGTTTTAAGATTAGTCTTAAAACATTCATTTTTTAAGAAAATGGATTAAGATTAGGACTTGATCTGGATTACTGTTTACTGTTTAAAAGGCTCAGGGTCCTGGGGGACCAGGAACACTGCTTCTTTACTCTATTTTTACTCCCAAATGTGATTACATGCTACTAATAAGATCCAAGATGGAGCCAGTGTGCTCGGCAAGCCGTCTCTTTGAGCTCTATCTACTGTTTGCTATTCTATTTTCTCAGTCTTATCCTGATGCCTTTGCGCTTCTAGCAATGGCTCAGTTTCACCATTGTCGATATGCAACTTGTCATAACCAGTGGCATGATTACCAATCACAGAGAGTCAAGGAATGGCTGCAATCTCAGCATTGTAAGATGGTGAAAGATGTACTCTTAATTCTTAATCCCCCCTCCCTCAGTTTAAAGATAGTCATTTGCCACCTTGACGCCCAGCTCAAACTAGCAGTCCTGCTTGTCCAGGATGTGTACATCCTCATCATTGAATGTTACTGGACTGTAGAGTCCTGATCTGAACTGTTAGCTGTTTTATACCATGTGCTTTGTATTAAATTTTATCTGCTATATCCCATAGTTCGTGTTTTGTTCTACATATTGTTCGGGGTCTCTCTGTGCTCCTATTTTCTGTCTTCTATTTGCTGTCACATCTGCCTTCCCTGAACCTTATTCTACCGTACTGCATTACTGCTGAATAGATTTGGTTGGCTACACAAAGGTAGGATGATTGAATTTTTGGAGTCTAATGCTTCCAAGAGGTTTTGGATGGTAGGTACTGTGTGGGGAATCTATTTGGTCAGCTGTAGCATGGTGGTGAATTTGAATAGAGCTACATGCTCAGGAACAACTGCAGTGGTTATAGTTGGCTCACTTGTGTAACCAGTTGCCTGACACCTCTGATACTAGGTTACCCCTCCCAATTAACTGCCTAAAGACCAGGGTTGAGTTGGTGAGTAGTGGGACTGTTCCTCAGTTTTCCACTCTTGCAGAGCCCACTGCAGCGTGACTTGCTCCTGACTTGTAGGTGATTTTGAATACCGGTTCTTCGGAAGCTCCTCCATTGGAATCATTTGATCAGTGCTCAAAGGACTATCACTTACAGATTGTTGAACATTTTGTTAGCAACTTGTTATAGGAACACTGTTTGACCTTTGTGTTAAGACTACAGGTCACCTTTGGTTAGGGTCATTTGCTACTTAGCAAACTTTCTGTGTAACCCTTCACAGGTGTAACCATATAGAGGCAGCTGCCATCCGGTTAAGGTGCCTGGGTTGCAAAGCGGTGTGCAGATGTACTTTTAAGCAGGCTAAACCAGCTTGTAGAGCTTGCCCAATTACTAAGGTTGTGTGAGACAGCAGACTGGATGTATAGAAGCGTATCAGCAGAATCAGCAGCTGATGTGGGCTAGCAATGAGATGGTAGCTGAGGTTGACTTTCTGACCTGCCTGAAATAAGCCTATGCTAGATTACAATTTATTGTAATGATTTGGTATTTTTTCAAATAGAGTAATAATCAGGGGTGCTGTAGAAGATTTTTGAAACATTTTGAAACCATATTCACCTTAGATATGTTATGAAGAAGACTAGTTGAATGAAATATGTGCACAAAGAAAATGCTTTATAAGCTGATCTTTATTAGGGGGATTTGGATTTAAATTAAACACTTCTAAATGCCTGGCTGTGGCCCAGGTTACCAGTGTAACTAAAAGGCTGCCAGTATTCTTCACAGCTATGTGCATGGATATTGCCGAGCAAAGATGAATATAAAGAGCATGTTTTTTTCTTTTTGTTTGTTGTTTTATTTAGACAAGTTTTCTGGATGTGTATTTTAGTGTGGGGACAGGTAAGTGGGGTTTTTTTTCGGTGCTAAACTCCGGTTTAGGAGTTTAGCAATGCTAAATTACTGCATAGGGATTAGCAGTTCCCAAATCAAATGAGGTTAATTGCACATTGCAACAGAGGGATGAGAGACGTATTTAGAGGATGAGGGGAAAGGGGGAGGAGGGGCGTCTCGACTGGCCGCGACTGTGTTCCTGACTGTGGCAGCTCAAAAAAAAGTTGTGTCTGTGTTTGATCACCAAGAAAATCCTCCTGTGTCAAACTTCCTCCGACTCCCAACTTCAAAAAAAAAGAAAAAAAGACCCCAAATCAAAGAGCAAGAAAAAAATCCACCGCACAACCCTCAAAATAGCATAAAGAGAAATATGTATCAAAATATCATCAGTCATCTTTCTCCAAGAAACAAGTCCAAAAGAATCAGGAATGATTGTGTGTGTGTGTGTGTGTGTGTGTGTGTGTGTGTGTGTGTGTGTGTGTGTGTGTGTGTGTGTGTGTGTGTGTGTGTGTGTGTGTGTGTGTGAGGGGGAGGGGGAGGGGCGGCAGATGAAAGTGCAGATAAAATCACCTCCGTGGTATCAGTGCTGCAGGTAGGAGATCAATTAAAAGCAGGCTGAGAGTTCTGTGCCCTTATTCCAACAGCTTATTAGACCTAAATCTTCTAAAGCGGGGCATGAGTGTCCTTGCATGTCCCCACCCTCCTTTTCCTTTTTTCCCCTAACTTGATTTGATGTTATCATCACTGACTTGGAATAGAGCTAGCTTAATATTTGCGTAGCTCCTTATTCAACAGCAATTTGATCCTTGAGCCGGAGGTTGAGGCGCAATAATAATGCACCTCATTGTATAAGCAGGTCTCAATAGGTGCTTTGTTGCTCAAAATCCTGACAACAATTTGGTTTCGGGGACAATGCCGTTCAGCTGGCCAATGTATTTTCAAGGGCACGGTGTTGATGGTGGTAGTCGAGGCCGGCTATTATTAGAGAGCAAGAAAAGGACCTCTGGAAAACAGTGGAGATGGCTTAATAATGGGTATCTGGGTTCCATTAGCCAGCCGTTATGATCATCCAAGGTTAGCTGAGGCTAATGATTTGCATATGAAAGACAGCTTTTTAATTGCAGCGGTCAGCACATACACTTACACCAACACATCGGTATGCATCTGATGTTCCAAAGTCCCACCTAGAAGATGTTTCACCTGTGTGTGTGCGTGTGTGTGTGTGTGTGTGCGTGCGTGTGTGTGTGTGTGTGTGTGTGTACACATCCCCCAAAAAGACTTCAAAACAAGAAAAAAGGAAAAACATGCAACAAAAATACCTTCGTCTCGAGGCTTGTTCATTGAAGATTCATCGTGTTTTTTTGTGAGCGGACCTAGGGTTAAGAAAAAAAGGGGGGAAAAAGAGAAAAGAGAAAATTTCAAAAAAGATTACTGGCAAAAACCGAAAAAAAGAATATCAAAAAAAGAAAAGAAGCAAGAGCAAAAAGGACAAATCAGCAAGAGTTCATGTTTGCTTATTGTGTGTGTGTGCGTGTGTGTTTTTCCTTTAAAAAGAGTACCAAAAACAAAAACAAAAGGCATCACAGACACAGATTTATCACAAGAAAAGACACAAGATCAAAGAAAACTGGTTCGGATTTCCTTTTCTCCCCCTGCAGAAGAAAATGCTGCCACTGTTTCTGGGCCCCTGGTTTCTCTCTCTCCTTTAAACCCTTTTTTTTGTTCCTGAGTCTAACTTGTATTGTTTTTGTTGGAAGCTGGGTGGGTGGAAGGGAAAGGAGGTGGAAGGTCGGGGTTGGGGTTGGAGGAAGAGGGGGGAAAAAGGGAATGTGGATTAATAAGACCTCGGTGGTTTGAAGAACAGGACCCAGCCCTTTCCTCCACGCAGAAAAAAAGAAGAAAACACCTACAGGACGGACGGCAGGTTTGGGTCCTGATGCTCAAACCTCAAAATGTTAACGCTGAGCATTTAAGCAGCGAGAGCACCCCGAAAATCTCCACGGGCTGCTGCACAACATTAGTCAATTAGAGCTTTTTAGAAAGACACACAAAGACACCTTTAATTAGACAGCAGGAGACAATGACCCTGGAATGTTAAAAGGCATGTTAAACATGTTTCAGATAAAACAGGGAACAGGTGCTTCAGCATTTTGGAGGGTTTTTGTGAGTGCATGTGTGTGTGTGTGTGAGCATTATTTAGTGGGTAAACCACAGCGTTATTCCCCAGGCGGGTAAATAATTACATAACACAACAGCAGTGTGTCAATTTGAAATGACAAGTAAGCGTGGTACTAATTGCGCAGAGGAAAGCAGGTGAAAGGTGAATGTAATTTGATCCCCATTTACCCACGGGCTGTTTTTTTTTTGTTTTTTTTTGTAAATTAAATGAGCGGCAAAGAGAAATGCAAAAATGCAAGAAGATGGACAAAGAGAGAGATCTGCACAGGAAGAAATCAAAGAGAGAAAAAACAAACCCTTCTCATTCGTTGATGGAGCCTCACTGTCACATCAAATCTTTTTCTTCATCAACACAAAGTGAGAACTTTACAAAAAACTACTCTGTAGATCACGTTGGCTTTATCCTCCACCCACCTGTCAGGTTTCTGAATGCTTCGGTCACGTCCAGCTCAGATCTCACAGGAAAAAAAAAAGGAAGACAAATGCTTTTTCTAGTTCTAGCAAATGCTACGTGTGCATATGGTTCGCCTCGTCTCTCAGAAGGTGAGCGTTTGTAAAAAATACTCTTCACCTCGGCGCTCAGAAAAGTAAGTACTACAGCAAGATACTCCCTCACCTTTCATCACTTTGGCTTTCATCTGATAAATCCAATTTTTGAACTTGAGGTTTGGCAGAGGACCTTTTTTTCTGAAGGATTTGTGGGGAAAAAAAGAACTTATATAACAACAACTTACTGAGAGTATCTGAAATTCATCAGGGGGGAAATATTGCCGGTGCACAAACTACAAGGTGAATGCTGAATGTCAATTATCTGCTAACAACCGGGCAGATATAAATGACTAAAGTCTAAGGAACACTTCACCTCCAAATAGGAGATTTCAAAATAAAAGTCTTTATGAAACTATTATAACAACTTTTAGAGCTGAGTAACATTATTTTTGAACTATGATGAAATCAGCGCCGGTTAAAAAAAGATATCCGGTCTTTAAGTCTGACATCATTAGCCGCTTCAGGTCCCAACGTCAAACGAACACTGTGGCATCACTGAGAGTTAAAAACGTATCTAAAACGTATCTAAATTCTTTCATCTGTAATAAAATGATCAGCGTTGCTGCTCTACCAGGTGTAACAGTTAACTTTAACATTTAACAGAGTTAGAAGCTAGCAGGGAGTTAGCTTGCTAGTTTCCACCTAAACAAAATATTCCATGTTCTGACTGAGAGATTTCTGAAAAATTTTATACATGTAGCTCTGATGTCACTTTCGACATAAATGAAGAAAGAAAACTAAACAGCAGTGACGTTTGTAGGGTTACTGAAGTTGGGCTAGCTACACAGCTATGGTTAGCATAATATAAACACAGCGAAGCTGGAGGATGAACGCTAACTTTTTTCCACTTGATAAAAATTAACATGAGGGTTCCCGATGGTTAGGGACAAATGCAGGATGCTGCAAATGGATCAGACTTCAGTCAGGAGAATAACTGAGATCGTCCATCCACAATTCGAGGTTAGTCATTAATATGCTGCTGCATGGGTTGAGCTGTTGTTACATCGTAAGGTTTTAAAAGCTTTAAAATGAATAGTGGTAATAAAAACCAAGAGAGTCCGACAGTGATCACTGACTTTTTTAGGGGCTTGTTCAGATAAGTAGAATAAGATACAAAGCATTAAAACATGTTAAAAACACAACAGCCGTAATAAACAAGGAGTATTTTGGACCCAGAAGCAGGGTTCATTCGTCATCACTTAAAGACCAGATAGAGAGCAAGTTACAGCATTATAGGAAGGAATTATAAAAAGATAAAGAGCTCATCCTCCCTGTTATTATAAATATGTATTTAATATTTTTGATTTTTATACTCTAAAACTTGGCTGACTTGTGCTTCTTTAACCCTGTAAAGCCTGAACTGTTAAATAATTACCAGAAAATTCTATTTTTTTTAATATGGAGTGTGTTCTTTTGTAACTTCAGACAATAAAAAAATTAAATAACACTTTATATATGTGTGTTTTAATTTGTGTCACTTTTTAGTAGTTTGCTCACAGTAGCACTTTGTGTGTCTGAGAGTACACATCAGGTTTTTCAGGACAAGAAAAATCACACGGGAGATGTAGAAGTCTGAAAAACTCATGTATCAAATATGATTTGCGTTCCATTACAAGGTTAAAAGTGTTTCAATCTAGAATGTGTTACATTGCACCAGATTTATAGGCACAAGGTCAGGGGTGATGGTATACATCACAAGTGTCAAATTCAGTTTCAACAGCAGCTACGCTGGAGCAATCATATCAAGAGCTCAGTGCATACAGTTTAACATGCTTTCATTTTAATCTAGAAAGGATGTTTCTTAGAGCCTTTCCAGTTAAACGCCTCACAAAATACTCTATTAGTTTACAACAGCCCTGTTCACAGCCTCACCATGATAGTGCGGGGCAATTAATAAAACCAAATATAACCCGATTATAAAGCAATCAAATGAATCTTTATGTGCACATCTGTCTGCAAATCTTAGCAAGCCTGCTTCAAAGGCCTGAAAAAGACCAAGGCATCTCAATAGTTGTGTAAGAAATGTCATTTAAAACAAGAAGTCAGAGATCTTAGTTCATGGAATATACATGTCCACACGCTGTAGCTTTCTGCCATGAAATTGGTCACACAAAAATGACACTTGCCTTCACAGCTCCATCACTTTGAGACTTGGGCTCAAAGCACAGACTATTGTGCTGTAATTGCGCGTCTTTTATGTCTTTGACTTTGTGAAGCCTCTGTTCCTCATCTATGGCTCCAAATCTTTACTAGTTTGTGGATTTCAAAGAGCACAATAACAATGCGAGTTATGTTGTTTGAGAACAGAAACTGTTTGCACCAACCCAACATCAGATTTTTGCTGTATTCTCTGTTAGCTGGCCATGAATCGCTGTGGAGACGGTTGTTGGTGTGTTGGTGTGCTAAAAGTGAAATGTGGGCCAGGTTCAAACTTACAAAGGGCCAGATCTGGCCCGTGGGTGTGGATCCTGACACATGATTTATAGAACTGTAACACAGAGACATGGATTTACAATCTGAGCGAGGTTAGGACAGAAGGATTCGTCATGTGGACAACATTATGCTTTTACGAAAGTTCATGAAAGTCCTCCAGCAGCTAATGCTGAGCTCATCTGACATATGAAGCCTTACAACCTCCACACTAGTGTAGTGCCATTCTACCACACAAAGTACAGTGGAGGTAGTATTTAAGACCGTAACACGTTCAAGTGAAACAGTGAACGTGTTACAGTTGCTGACTTTTTTGGACACAAACATGGAATTCCTTCTTAAACACAATTTAAGTACTTACATTTTAAAATACAAACTGCTTTCTTGTTTTGAGTAAATTATTAGAAAAGACCAACAAAAAGAGTTATGATGACTAATTTAATGGAAACTCGAAGACTGGTGACCTAAAATCAGAAGGTTATAAGTATTTAACTAGTATCTACCACATGGAAGCTGATTTTTCAAACATTTCCCCTTATATTTAAAATCCTGAGGGTGAAACATCTTTTGTGGCATTTCCAAACTAAAAACAGATTTTGCTTATACAACAAAAAATCCTGGGAGCTCAGAGTCACCAGTTAGATCCTTGAGAATGGAAACTCTTTAGTGGAAACAACACCAGTGGAAACCTGAGTAAACTCCATCCTTTTGTTGAGACACGTGGATTTTTTTTTTCCTTTAGTGAAACACATGAGAGTAAAAATAAGCCCCTGACTGACCACTTCATTGATCAAGTTCAATATTAGCTGTGGGCACAAAAAAATCAACCAATGTGATTGACGCACATCAAAACGACATCCCGAAAAGCTGTGAAAAAAGTTTAAATGCTGGACTGCTTATCAAAGAAACAGGAGCGAGCAGGGATTTTGGGGTTTGGTGGCTGGTGGGGCTGTGACAAAATGGGAAGTAAGTAAAATCAAGCAACCATTACCAGCAACATGCTGAGGAAAAGTGTAAAAGTGTAGCTTGATTGACATCTTTTCGCAATGAGTGGGCGAGGAGCTGAGCACTGAGAATCAAGCTATTGGTGGGAGAAATAACTGGTCTTCCTGACGTTTTAAGGCCTTTTTTTTCCTCCCCACAATCAAAAGAACTGCAGTGATGGGCGTGTGAGCAATTTCCTGGAGAATCAAACCCTAACTCCATCAACCCCATT